ATTCATTCAAGAAACCACTATACGTTAACGATCTATTTGGAAATTAAATAAAAAAGGAAGTTGAATCGAAAAGGAAATTGAATAAAAATGGTAGTTGAATAAAAAGAAAAATGAAAGTTGCATAAAATTAAAAATGGAAGTTCATTGTAGAAAGCACTATACCTTAACGATCTATTTGGAAATTAAATAATAAAGGAAGTTGAATAAAAAAGTAACTTCAATAAAAATAGAAGTTGAATAAAAATAAAAGTGGAAGTTGAAGAAATTTAAAAATGGAAATACATTCAAGATACCACTATTCCTTAACGATCTATTTGGAAATTAAATAAAAAAGGAAGTTAAATAAAAAGAAATGATAGTTGCATAAAATTAAAAATGGAAGTTCATTCCAGAAACCACTATACCTTAACGATCTATTTGAAAATTAAATTAAAAAAAATGTTGAATAGAATAGTAACTTGAATAAAAATAAAAATGAAAATTGCAGAAAATTAAAAATGGAAGTCCATTCGAGAAACAACTATACCTTAACGATCTATTTGGAAATTAAATATAAAAGGAAGTTTAATAGAAAAGTAAATTGAATAAAAATGGAAGTTGAATAAAAATAAAAATGGAAGTTGCAGAAAATTAAAAATGGATGTTAGGTCAAGAAACCACTATACCTTAACGATCTATTTGGAAATTAAATAAAAAAGGTAGTTGAATCAAAAAGGAAATTGAATAAAAATGGCCGTCGAATAAAAAGAAAAATGAAAATTGAATAAAATTAAAAATGGAAGTTCATTTCTGAAACCACTATACCTTAACGATCTATTTGGAAATTAATTAATAAAGGAAGTTGAATAGAAAAGTAACTTCAATAAAAATAGAAGTTGACTAAAAATAAAAATGAAAGTTGCAGAAAATTAACAATGAAAGTTCATTCAAGAAACCTCTATACCTTAACGATCTATTTGGAAATTAAATAAAAAAAAAAGTAGAATCGAAAAGGAAATTGAATAAAAATGGAAGTTGAATAAAAATAAAAATGAAATTTGCAAAAAATTAAAAATGGAAGTTCATTCCAGAAACTACTGTACCTTAACGATCTACGAGGAAATTAGAGAAAAAAAAAACTTGAATGGAAAAGTAACTTGAATAAAAATGGAAGTTTAACAAAAATAAAAATGGAAGTTGCAGAAAATTAAAAATGGAAGTTCATTCAAGAAACCACTATACCTTAACGATCTATTTGGAAATTAAATAAAAAAGGAAGTTGAATAGAAAAGTAAATTGAATAAAAATGGAAGTTGAATAAAAATAGAAATGAAAGTAGCAGAAAATTAAAATTGGAAGTTCATTCAAGAAATCACCATACCTTAACGATC